TTGAGTATTCAGTTGGAGAACTCCAAAGACACAGCTAAATCGTTGACTCAGGAAACAGAGAAGCTAGAATTGAAAATAGTTGATTTGACGAAGAGATTGCAAGATAGTGAGAGAGAGAAAAGCACAACAAAGGTTGATTGTGATTTTCTACAAAATAAAAGAAACGCTCTCTATCGAAAAATCAAGGAACTTGAGGATCTGATCTCTAAGAGAGGACAATCAGAACAGACTATTTTTCTAAATCAAATTAGTGATGACAAGTATTATAATTCCAGAGCTGGACTTGGCATCTCCAATCCTTATAATTTACATAAAGTTGATTGCATTCAGCTTTATGACTTAGATTACATGAAAAAAGAATATTTTCAGAAAATGGATTTTTTTTCTGGAGATGAGACAGTTGAGGAAGAAGACAAGAAAAGAGCCAAGCCTGCAGCTGAATTTACCTGCAATTATGATGCAATAAACGAGGGTTATAAAACTAAAAAACTTCTAATAACCCCTCCTAAAGAAATCACTACCTGATATCCTGAAAAGAAGACTGGGCAAGACACAGAGACACTTTCAACTTCAGAGCCTGCACTCAAACCAGCAAACATGTCACCTCTTATGAGAAAATTTGTTGAGTTAAAAGAGACTTTTGATAAAGAAAAACGGGCTTTTGAACTGGAAAGAGCACTGCTCTTAAATGAAATATCCTTGTTGAAAGCATCGTCTCAATCAAGCACAGATTCTCAATCTCCTTCTTCTCCATCCTCAGAAAAATGTATTAAAACGTCGACCGATGATCCTGAAATTTCTACTTCTCACTTTGAGTCTACTTCTCCAACAAGTTGAAAGGTGAAGAGGAGAGTGGAAAGAAGAAGAGAATGGATTGAGGAGAAGTTGAGAAGAAGAAAGAAGGAAGAAGATTCTCGTCAAAAGAACAGGAGCCGGTTTTCAAGTGCTCTGTTCTATGGTAAGAAGAAAACATTCGTTCAGAATCATCATTCAAGCTCCTCTTCTCTGAACTGTGTTAAGTCAAGAAAAGTCAGCTCTTCTGAATCTGCTACCTCCTCCATGAAAGCTAGATGTGTGAATGATCATCCAATTCCGAAAAAATCAGCTTCCGCTAAAGTGAATGTTGAGAGGGAGTATCATTTACCATGTTTAAAGTATCCCCTCAAGGTTCACTCACTCAATCACTTGAGAAGACTCTCTCAAGAACCAATCTTAAAGGATTATATGTCTGATCATTCACTCACTGATAGTGAAACTTCTCCAGCACCTAAGCTGAAACAACAATGGGTTCCTAAGGGTGAAGCTGAAAAGTTAAGACTGTCCAACTCTTTTCAACCAGCCATCCTAGGATCTCAAATCAAACAGAAAGTGCAACACTTTTTCAATGCTGCCAAAGAAGGACCCATCTGGAAATGGGTACCAAAAATTACTTAATTTGTTCAGTAGATCTGTCATGTGTGGTAACTGATCCGATTGCTCCACACACATGGCGGGTATGAAGATGAGCTGTGAGCAATCAACAGATGCACATTATGAAGGAGAGTATTGGCATGTATACTCTCCACTGAGCTGAACATCATCAAATGCACACCCCAACACCGACACATGCCAAGAACAAACAACAAGTGCATATTCTGAGGGGGAGTGTTTCATTATCACTCCTCCTGGTTCCAAACAACGAAGAAAGCACATTTCAAGAGGGAGTTCTCTACTTTACTCCCAGGGTGACAAACAAAACACTTGCAACTTCTCAGGGGGAGTTTCATTTTTCTTCTCCTGGTGCTAGAAAAAGTAAAATGCAAGAATTCTCTTAAGGATGCAGATTTTGAGGGGGAGTCTTCAAACTTCTCCTCCCAAGCGCCAATCATCGTCAAAGGCGTCCTACTGAGTGCTCCAGTTGAGGAGGAGCATAGAGAGAAAAGAAAACGAGCAAAGAGAAATGAGAGATAAGTACCAATGGCTTAGTAAACCCAATTAAGCCTACCCTAGGGACAAAGCCGAGAGTGAGTGAGTAACTGAGTGAACACTATGAGAGTGAGGAAGCAGAAAGCTCAAGTGAGCAAGAGAACAATAATCACTGTCAAATCTGCTACCTCTATTGTGCTATCAATTGAGAAAATTACTCCCAGTCGGTCAAATACTCTGGACAATCCCCATAGGTTAAGGACTGAATTTATTCAGATCCCGGATAGAAGTCGCTGCATTTTGTCCAAATAGCGCATGCACAACCATAACCAAGAGCACTCATTTGTCTCCCAACAGACGGGTGTTTAATCATACTTCACGGGGAACCTCATCTCTTATCATTGTCTCCTTCTGAGGCGACTGATACTGACTACAGTGGCCAACAGCCCCACGCCACTGAATATTCATTGATCACATCGTGTCTAGTTATCTCACTGCCAAATGTTTTGAATTTTCTAGGACACAGACACGTTTTAGAGTCAGTTGCAGGTCTTCATGACCCGCGAGAACTTCCATAGGGCTCATCTACTATAGATGAAGAGCAATGATTGGAAGGAAGTCCTGCTATTGTAACATAGAAATCACCAACATGTTCAGGCCATCACTACAGAGTTTATATCTATAGTGATTATAACGGGCGTCTACATGACCCTGGGGTGCTACGTTATCTTTGTTGATCTTTATGATCATGCCATAACAACCAGAATGACATCTCCTTTAGATGCCTCACAATGACTGGTTGGAAGTCCTGTTAGAGCTTTAATGCTTCTATCATTTTCATACAGGCCACACGTCAGTGTTTACATTGATGTTGTGATAATGGAACACCATGGTGTCTCTGGTGTTTACCTTTTTTGTTTTTTCTATTTTGTTTCTCGGAATAAAAGAATAAAGGCATGACGTCCTCATTCATCGGATCGTCATGAGGGGGAGAGTGGTTCGCATGTTGTTTACTCTCAAAAATCATTCTCGGATACTTCTCCTCCAACACAAAAAAATGAAGACTCTCTTCTCTCTCAAATCATCAAAATTGCCAGGTCAGCTTCACATCAAATGGTCAGCTACGCTCACAAGACAACCATCATTTTCCGTTGTGCCAGTGACAAGTTCTCCTCAAACGCGTTCATTCCAAATAGTCAAAAAGACTACATTGTGGAGGAGACAAAGGTCAGATACTCTCGTATTGAAGATGAATCCCGTGCATGCCTGAAAATCATCAGAACATTCATTCTAGAGGCGCCACCGGACTTCATTCAAGCAGATCAAGAGCAACTTCTGGAAGGCAAGGACTACATGCAAGATACTGAAGATTCCGTAACCCCGGCATCAAAGAACAAATTGCCAAGAAGACATCAAAAGGGAGATTGCAAGGATTTCTTCAAAAAGCCTTCTCAAGAAGCTGAGTTCAAAGACAAAGGAAGCTAAGCAACACTGAAGTTCACGGACAAAGATTTCTGCGCTGCAATGCTGAATGATCGTGATTGAACACCAAAGGGGAGATTGTTGGGAATATTTTATCGTGTCCAATCTAATTAAATATCATTATATTTGTGTAGTTATTAATTAAATGTGTAATATGGGCCACAAATGTATCTCAGCCCATTAGCCCACTTGTAAGTCTTAAGTTAGACATCCTTATGTATAAAAGGATGTTAACTTAAGAAAACCCTACAACTCACAAGGCTCACAAGCTATTAACGCTCATATCTTTCTTGGAGCTTATACGGTATATAGAAGAGGGTTTCAATGATCAACATATCTCTATCATTCTGTGATTCTCTGCTTCTATTATATTGTATGATTGTTGATTGATTTTAAGACTAACAGTTTTGTTGATTCGGTTTGAATTTTGTTTTTAATTAAAATGTTTTAGAACTTAATGTCCCCTAATTGACACTTTCCGTCACTAAACAAAATGTTCCCTCGTTGCATCATGAAATAGGGTTATACAATATGAGATTTTAATTTTAGAAGTTGGATATATTTATAAAAAAGTGAGCCTAAAACCCCCATTCATCATATCTTCAAATGTAATTTTATTTTTATATATGCAATATGATTGTTATATGAAAGATAATAACAATTATAAATTTTGATTTATTTTTATACAAATATAAAGTTATGTCAATTTTTATAATAAAGAGGTTTTTATGTTGGTGTTCCCGTGATTTCCAGCTTCAAGTTTCCTATCTTGCTTTGCATTTCCAATTTCATGAGAAAGGTTGTGTTCAGCACGACCAATAAGCTAAAAAAGGGTTGAATATTTTTAAATTCAATCAATTTTAAATAAAATAGCGAAACACTTCACAATTTTTCAATGGTGTTAATGATGTTATCAAAGTTGTTATTGCACACCGAAGCAACAAGGAAAAAAAAGAAATTTTATGTTCTTGTTCGATGCGTCATAACATGAGAAGGGAAGATGATGTGAACGTATTTCTTCAATATTTATTTGAGAAGAGGTTTAAGGAAAATTATACACAAATGGACATTACCTAGTAAAAGTTATGTGGATGTTGAAAATCGTTTTTTTAAATGTTGAAAATCGTTATTCTGGAGCAAGTTCTAGCACTATGAGGCGTAAAAAAAGGCTCATATTGCTACCAATACTAATGCTAATGATGACAAAGATGTTGATGATGTTGTGAATGATGATCAAAATGAGGATCTCTTGAATGACATTCTTGACAACCTTGATCGTCAATTGAACACTTATAAATATCAAATTGATGCAGCTAATACGTCGTTGTACATATTGTCCACTATTTTGAAATTATTTCACTTGAAAGCAAAACATGAGTGAGGTAATGTGAGTTTCATCGAGTTGTTGGTAGTGCTTCAAGAGATGCTACCGAATGGACTTACACTCCTCGATACGAGTTATAAGGAGAGAAAGTTATTGTGTCATATGGGAACATAGTAGAAGAAGGTTCACGCATGTCCGGTCGATTGCATACTCTACCGCAATGAGTATAAAATTTTAGATGAATATCCAAAGTGTAACGCCTCACGTTACAAGAAAAATCATCACAAATGATGCATTTGAGGATGAGAATACAAAAATACATGGTAAGGTTTTGCGGTACACTCTAGTCATTCTTAGATTTAAATGGTTGTTCATGAATGAAAATGATGCCAACTGATAATGCTCAATTTGTATATTTTTTGTCTCATTTAATCCAACATTTGATTGACTTTTGGATTAGTTTTGCTTTGAATTGCTTTAAACCTCGGTCTTATTTTAATAGCGGGTGTTACTAATCGATTTAGTATTGTTTTATTAGGTTTTGAAGGTTTAGGAGAACCCGGAGCCGTAACTGAAAGACCGAGAGCACAGAAAGTCAATCCCGGGTCAAATTATAGTTGACCAGTCAACACAGTCAACCAAGGGTTGACCAGCAACCCACCCCTCCCAGCTGGTCATCTCTCGACAGCAAGCAGCAACCAAGCAGCAAACAAGAAGTAACGCAGCAGGCAGAAGAAGGAGAAACAGGCTCTGCCCGTAGCACCACCGCAGCTGCCGCCCAGTCGCGCCAGAAGTCGGGAAGGCGCTCAGAGAGGACCGCATTGGCTGCCGACGGAGACCAGTGGCCAGATTCCAAACCCTCACCGTCGCCGTTATCGGCATCTCGAGTTTGAACCACCTGCCGCCATGTCCGCTCGCATCGCCGCTCCAGTCCGTCTCACTTCAGTCGGATCCTGCACCAGAAATCAACACCGCCGACGATGGCTGCTCGAGACCTGCTGGCCGTGGACCGTCCCTGGCCTTGCCTGATTGACGAAGAAGATCGAAGACCTGGCCTGCTGCTGCTGCTGCGTACGAAGAGGGAAGGTGGACCGAAAGCCCTAATCTGATTTTAAGCATCGAAAAGACTAAAATGCCCCCGCTGCTCCTTTGTTTTAAGTTTTAACCCTAAGACACATTAGAATAGATTTTACATTTTAGATCAGGGTATTTACATTTCATCTATCTAGCATTAGTGTAGATTTGTAGAGATCTCTCCTCCGATTCAAGCTTTCTACTTGCATTTCAATGGATTGCTTCTCATCTTTAAAGGGGTATTCTTCTACACTTATTACTTCATTTAAATTCAAAAGTTTAAGTCTTTAGTTTTAGTTATGCACTTTTATGTTAATGTTTTTATTTTATTTCCGATGCATGAGTAGTTAGATTGGTTAGGGGGCTGTTTGGAGCTTCTTATGTGATTTAATTGTTGGGTGATTAGTATTGAATTTTATTGCTTGAAATGTGTTTGTGAAAATGCCTCAATGACTTTAATTAATACAATTTTGAGAAATCTTGTATTTAATTATTTGGCAATATTTAGATGAGAATCGGATATTCATTTGCCCCTTTCACACACACCTAGGCACGACCATCAGAGTGGCGGGTCTAGGGAGCTTCCTTGCTTTGAATCATTTTCATTGGCGTCGGTAGGTGGTTTCGGACCATGAGAGTGGCCAAGATCGTCTATTGACCGATCCTACGACCACGAGAGTGGTGGAGGAACCGTTGTGCATTCTCTTTCTTGTAATAAAGTTCTAATACTATTTTTTCCAACCTTCAATTGCAATGTGAGTTCCAAACATGCCCCCAACATCCCTTTGCATCTTTATTTCATAGTTTAGCTCATTTTGCATCTCCTCTTGATCATGTTTGCGTTATGGTTTCGTTTGCTCCACTTTAGTGACACATTTGTCTATTCGATCATTGTATTCACTTACACGCCATCCCTGTGGTTCGACAAACCTCATCCCACTTACCACTATACACTTCACTTTTCCCTGCACTTTCATTTACACTTCATTTTCCTTCTTTTTGATTGACTCAGGATTCGCACACAACGACCTATATTTGTTATATTATAGGCGGGTCTCGAGCTCATCAAAATGGTGTCATTGCCGTGGATGGCGTTAGTGATTGATTGAATTAGGATTTGTGTTTTCTATTTTGGAGTTAGTTTTTATTTTCTTTTTTATTCCTTTTACTTTCACCCCCCGTATGTCTTTGCTTGGTATTGTGCTTGAAGTTTCTTATAGGTGTTGATGGCATATCAATACAATGGCTACGAGAGCCAAGAGCTGATGGGAGATTCCTCGAATTCTCGATCTTTTGACCCCTATCTTCAAACCCCTCAAACATCACAACCATACATCCAACATCCTCGATATCAAGAGTCATACCCCTCTAACCCCTCCTACCCACAATATCAAAGCTACCCACCCTCTACCTCTTACTACCCACCATCTCAAGAAGCCTCCCTCCTACCCAATCAATCAAATGGACCTTCCATCTCTCAAACTAAAAAAGGGAAAACTATTGCCGAGTACATGTATGAGCGCATGTATCCATCAAATGAGACTCTCGCTAACACATGTAAACATTGTTTCGGACCTCATGAGGTGGAAGATTGTCCTCTTACTCTTATATTCAAGCAATCCGCTCAGTGTGATACTCAAGGATTTCAACAAGCTAGCTATGTGCCTTCTTATCACCGTCCGGGCCCCGTTGAGCTAAATGAGTCGTCTATGAAGTTGGTGAGCAAGTTGGATGATATTTTGTGTGGTCTCATGCAATCTTGGGAACAAGAACTTCATGAAATGGCCACCAACTTAAAGAAATTTCTCAAGAACTCACGGAGGAGACTTTGTTGAGCATTCTGAAGTCCACCCAAGAGGAGCAAATACATGTAGTTGGTATTGACCGTGGTGATGAGGTAACCAAGAAGAAATCCTCATTGAGCTTCAAGAAGAAAAATCTCCAACTCAACTTGAGTTCTCAAATATTTGTCATGAAGAAGCCATTTGGGAGGAATTCATGGAGAGAGTTGAAGAGTGGAGTGATGTACTCCTAATTTACCATATTTATGATCTTGTTTTGTCACACTTTTAATATTTTATTTCTCATTTTTTAAATAAAAAGAATTGATTTTTATCATCTTGGACATTTTAAGGTATTGCACTTGTTTTGGTATATTTTTGAGTTTCAGGATAATTCAGGACGTATATTAATTTCTGAAAAGAAATAAATATTACTCTCGAGTTAAGACAGAAAATTCATCAAAGTGAAGTGAGTCCTTATTTTAAATCTGAAATATTTTATCATGAGACCCTGAATAAATTCCAGAATGAACCAGACTGTCTGCAATAAAATGTACCGGTTAGCTGTTGACCAGCTAACTGCGCAAATAGTTAACCGGCCAAAAGAAGAAGAGGCGGAAAAAGAAAGACAAAGTATGTCTGATTAGAAGAAAACACTATTCACTACACAGTGAATAAAATATCTACCGTAGAAAAAGGCTCCAACAAGGGATTAGATTGGATTATTCATCTTGCAACTTGGCTGCACTTAAAACCAAAACCTGCTTCATCATATTCAGTCGGCGACAAGAGAATAGCAGCAACGAAGAAAAAAAACAACGCAACAGGAGTGGCACTATTGACACAACGAAATCAAGATCAAGGGCAATCGCATTTGATGTAATAATACAGCAAAATATTATTTATCAGCATCTTAATTTCAGCATTTTTATGCTTTAGCCCCTTCTCCTACTACTATATAAAGGACCATCCAAGAGCTGCAAAGAACACACCAATTCGGAGAGAAATCTCCTTCTTCTCTTCTTTAGCTTTGTTCATAGTAGTAGTCATATAATAAAAGTGATTGTGTCAAGAACACTTTTTGTAAATTTCAGTTTGTAATTTTCATTTCCAGAATTTTAGTTCTTTAATTTCAACAATCAAGTTCATTTGGGAAGTATCAGCCAGAATCATTCTCAGCTTAAGGATTTCACTTTCTCTATTCTAGCTCATTATTTATGCCTTCAGGTTCTTATTCAAATACTCATTTTATTTTCTTTAATATGTTAAATTAATTATGTCTATCATTAGTTTTACTTTTATTTCATTTGCTGTAATTATGTGTAACTAAATTAATTTAGGATTGGGCAAGATGTAATTTTTACTGTTAATGTTCATATGATAATAATTGGTTAAAACTATGACTTGGTTAATTTTAGGAGTGTTGGGTTGAATAATCTAATCTGCTAAATATTATATATTGGGAAATGAATATTGTCACAGGAGTGAAATTTCATTAAAATCCCTTTTGTTAATTCACCCATTAAATTGCTACACGGAAGTGTTAAGAAATTTAGGATAATTTGATTTTGTACTTTTTACTGTCTTACTAAAATTACCGCGGGAGCGGAATTAATTTAAGATAGTGTAATCAACTAAGTCGGGGGAACGATTAGAAGATTACTATTTGTAAATCTTTCACACACCTAAAAGTAATTAAGTTAATTAGTTAAATCTTTATTATTATGAACATCAAAATAAAATTACTCTTAGCCCAAGCCTAATTTTCTCTATCATTAATTGTTAAATTACCAGGTATTGTAATTTATTTTACTCCCTAGCAATTTCGCATTTATAAAATCAAGATAAAAAAAATTGTTCACTTAGCTCCATTGCAAAATGTTATTAATTTATGATTAGCTAAAAATCAATCATTAATTCTAGTTCTCTTTGTGAGTCATTCTCTAGCAGAACGATACTCACTTACTCTATATTATATCGTTACAAGCCAATTAAAACATCATTTCCATCCACATTTTTACACCATTTCACACTACACATTTTGGCATGTCACGATTTTGGCGCCGTTTCCGGGGAATGACATAGTGTTATTGATTGAGTATTAGTTAATATTAGTGTTTGTTATTATTTATCTGGAGACTAAGTATTTTTTTACCTGTTCTCACCACTTTTGCAAAAAAACAAAAAAAAACATTTTTCGTGCACTAAAAAAAATGTTAAAAAAGTGTATGCATACTCGCTCTCAAGGGAGTGAAGGATTGGAACCACTTAACCTTGATTTTGAAAAAGAATTAAGGAAAAGAAGAAAAACACGAACCCTTGAACTTAAAATTCCAGATCAAATCATGGAGGCTTTTCAAAGCAACCCCAATAATCCAAATGGCCAAAACCTAATTCCAAATCCAAATCCCACGCCATGACGCCACCACAAAATACACCCATTGATACTCCCAGAGATAGACACAATCCTTTCTTTGGAGATCAAAGACCCCCAGAATTTGAAAATTTCCAACAAATTCCCCCCCAAACACAGCCCCAATTTTATCTACCACATCCCTACGAAAATCACCAAAACCAACCTCCTCCACCATATCCATACACATACCCATATCCTCACCCACCTCCTCCATTTATGCATCCATATCAACCTCACCCATATGGCCAATACTTCCAACACCCACATAATCAACAAAATCAAGGGAATTCATGAGACAACAACAGCAAGGGAGAAGACCTCTTGATTATGTTGCAGGTGAAATTGAGGAACAAGATAGCATTCTTTATTCAGGCGTGGATGCATCAAATTTTGAGATCAAACCAGCACTTATCTCATTGGTCTCAGCAAACAAATTTGGCGGATCAAAGAATGAAGATCCCACGAGCCACGTGAAGCAATTCTTGAGAGTTCTCCAAACTCTTAAGCTTAATGGAGCCTCTGTTGATGCTATCAGACTTAGATTGTTCCCGTTCTCATTGAGGGATGAAGCATTGAGTTGGTTAAACTCTAAACCATCCGGTTATTTCAACACATGGGAGAAGTTGCATCGTGAATTCATGAAGGAGTTCTATCCTCCTTCCAAGGCATCAAAAATGAAGAAGTTGATCCAGCAATTTAGGCAACATCCATCAGAATCTCTTTACGAATCATGGAAGAGATTTAAAGACCTACAAGTTCAATATCCACATCATAATATGAGCATGGGTGATCTCATTGTTTCATTTTATGAAGGATTACATGATAATTCCAAAAATTTTGTGGATGCCTCTGCTAATGGAGCTTTCATGGAGCTTGATCCTGAAACAGGAAAAGAGATGTTTGAGAAAATTTGTAACAACAGTGCATCATGGTATTCTGAAAGATCCACTCAAAAACTAGGAGCGGGAATTTATGAGGTTGACCAAACAACAGCTTTAACGGCAAAGGTTGATTCTCTCACAACCATGGTTCAAAAGCTCACGGAGAACCAATCATCATCAACTTCTAGCACATCAACAAATCTGTTAGTCCAAAATAGGACGCTCGTAGGCTTTTTAGGAAAGCTACGTAAGAACACTCAAGCAAGAATTAGGAAAGTACGAATATGGAAAGTTGCAAAGGGGATTTGGTATCCAGAAACAGCATATCTATTATTTGACTCGAACTTGCCTTTTATAGGCAATTACAAATGGTAACTGCCAAAGATACTAATGGCTAACTAATTACAACATTAATACGGAATTAAATACATAATTAAGTCACGCATTAATTACTTTGGCCGTTATAGTTCCTGGCTGGCAGGTCAGTCTGGCTGGCAGGCTGGACGCTTGAGCTCCCTCCTGCTGGACTGGACAGTGGGCTCCCCGCTAGGTTGGAGGAAGGTTTCTGACCGGGCTGGAGGCAGGCTCCCGGATAGGCTGGAAGGCAGGATCCCTGTTGGGCTGGAGGCAGGCTGCTGGCCGGGCTGGAAGGCAGGCTCCCACCTGGGCTGGACCGCAGGCTCCCAGCTGGGCTGGTCGGCAGGCTCCTGGCTAGGCTGGAAGGTAGGCTCCCCTCCAGGCTGGAAGGCAGGCTCCCCGCTGGCCGGGCGGGAGGGTAGGTTCCCCGCTGGGCTGGTCGACAGGCCTGATCGGTTGGACTGACTCGAGCTCTGGGTTGCTGGGCTTGGGTCTGCTGGTCCAAGTTCGGGGCCTGGGCCGATTAGGCTCTGGGCCTAGTCCCATAACCCCATCAAAATCCATCATCATCTTTAGCTCAAGTTTTGTTCTGTGAACTCTGTGGAGGAGGACATTCTTTTAAGGAATGCAATCTTCTTGAACTTAAACAAAATAATCCTTCTGGCCCCACAGTAGAACAAGGTGATGCTATATATGGTAGACCTCAAGTACCATTTCAAGGGAACTATAATCCTCAAGGGAGGACACATCCAGGATTTTCATGGAGTAATCCATCAGGTGCAACAAATTCATCTTTTTCATCCAAACCAACACCTCCTGGATTTCAAAATCAACAAGGGTGCCCACCGCAAGAGCAATTACCACCACCACCACCTCAACAGCAACAACAATATGTTGGAGTTAATGACTTCCATAGAATGATGCAAGGTATCACTAATCAATTCTCTCAACTCACCACCCAACTCAACCAAATCCAAGCTCACAACAAAATGCTTGAGAGCCAAATAGCTAGTTTTGCTTCACCATCTACTAGCAAAGCTCAAGGCAAATTGCCTACCTACTCTGAACATCCCAGGGAGAATGTCAATGCAGTCACTACAAGGAGTGGAAAACAACTTTCTGATCCACCACTTGTAGTTGAAAAAGAAAAGATAACTGAAAAAGAGACTTCACCATCAAAGGAGAGTAATGAAGAAGAACTCAATTCTCCAAGCAAGAAAAAGGCAGTGCAACCATATGTTCCACCTTTACCATTTGCTCACAGAGCAAAGAAAAACACAATTGATGAGAGGAGAGATAAATTCCTTAAATGGATCGGACAGCTTAACACAACAATTCCACTTCTTGATGCTCTGAAACATATGCCTTCATATTCCAAATTTTTGAAGGAAATTCTATCAAACAAGAAGAAATTAGAGGAGAAAGATACAGTGGCCATGAGCGAGGGATCCAGTGCTATCATTCAAAAGAAACTTCCAGAAAAATTGAAGGATCCAGGTAGCTTTACTATACCATGCATAATTGGAGGGTTTATGGTTAACAAAGCTTTGTGTGACCTTGGGGCTAGTGTTAGCCTTATCCCTTATTCTATGAGCAAGCGACTTAGTCTTGGTATTCCCAAGGCTACTTCGATGACCATTCAGCTTGTTGACCGATCTGTTAAGCACCCTGTTGGTATTCTTGAAGACATTCATGTACAAGTTGGGAAATATTTCATCCCTTGTGAC